TTTTTCTGGCATTTTCCACGCGTGCAAATAGCACTGAGTTAATAAAGCAATTATTCTTCACTTGCGGTGGGACCAGACATTTCTCGAAGAAACATTTTTACTACAGCGCCATCACTGCTTCTCCCTAAATCTTGATTTCATAACTTGTAGCAAATATGAATTTAGCATAGAGAAAAAATTCATGACTCGCTTAACCTGACTTAATAAATTCAAAACTGGTATAATTTAACGGGCATTTTAAGTACTCTATTGATTGAGCACCTGACTTCTTTGCAAGAGCTAAAATGTAAAATCTGGCTGATCAGCTGGAAAACTCAAAACTAGTACATTCTAATCTCAGTTTCATAACTAAATCTCGTTTCGGCTACCTTACCATGAATACATCTGTGGCATATAATATGCAACCTTTCAAAAAGAGAGCCGTCGGCAGCCTTGCCAGCGGATCATTGCTGTTCGCGTTTGCTATTACTATGGCTACATCCGGAGTGCCTTCAATTTTCACTGAGAGCGATAACAGGAAGAGAGATTTAGCCATGAATATTATACCGCAGAGAGGAAAAACTTGAAAATGGTGAGAAGTGCTTTCCGAATACTTCCACGTAAATCTGACGTCGTTCTGAATATTCTCAAACAATGCCGGATTCGCACTGTTACTACAAGCAAAAAACTCTCCGCCTTTTTTTTGTGCCTAATCCGTCAATCGAGAACAGTGTAAGAAGTAATGTTTTATATATTTATAGTTTTGTGTTACTGCTTCGAGATGCAGCCGTTTAGAGGATTTCACCAGTCCAGGTTAGACTTATTTCTCGTTTTACAGTTTGTTTATGTGGAAAAGTCCGAGAACCACTGCCGAGTTCTGTGCACTTATCGGATTCTTTTTTGCGCAATCACTTTTCTTTTCCACTTGCTCTTGTCTATCGTTCATCGGTAAGCATTAAATAAATTTGGCTCTTGCCGCTAAAATATTGTGCGGTTGCTTCATTCTCGCTAGCCTTGGGCTGTTGCTCCTGCTGAAAGACTTAAATCAAGTGAAATTGTAACCAGTGCCGTATTTAATTTTCACACCAAAAAATGTTCCATCTGTGTCTGTTCCTTTTTTACGTTTCTAGATAAGTTAAGCTAAATGGTTCTTGTAGCTAGTAACTGAGCGGATAAAAGACAGAAACATGGAGATCCGAGCATTTCTGCGGTGTTTCAGAAGCTATGCTGTGATTTCAGGCTTACTTGTAGCTTTCAAAACTTTTATTTCTGCTTACTTCTATCATCGCTTTCCAAAATTGCGGCAAAAATTGGATCTGGCATCGTATTTCTACGTTCGAATCCCGACAAATTATGAACTGGATATGCGCACCCGCAGATTATCACGCAAATTTGGTTCGCAGGATGAGATGGAATCAATTCGCATTTCCCCAACAATAGTACGGAAAATGAATATGTTTGCTAATGCTGAAGTGAAGGTACTACATTTTCTATGCAGCATTTTCCCCCAGGCACGTAAGAACTTATCCAGCAGAGAATGCCCACAGAAAAAGTAAAGCACCACTGTGTTTATGACTGTTGAACGTTTTATAACAGTTCTTCTAAGCTATCGTTTTTACCAATGTTTTGACGGTATATTTTAAGAAAATTAAAGAAAATAGCTAAAAACTGAAATTTGACAATTAAACAGGAATGTTCCGGCCCTTGAAATCATTTACATTCCTATTGAGCACCACAGCTAGTGTTCGCCAGTACGAAGTTTGTGGTTTCAAATCTTTTTGCATAAAATGTGTGCTTTTTCAAGGCCCTTTACCACCTGTTGATCAAGGTCTTCTTCATTACGTTCTACACGTATCATAAAGAAAACAGGAAAAACAGCGCTCTTGTCAACAACTAGTTGTTAGTAAAACCTGGCAAAACCGTTATTACTGGAGCTACAAACGAGTGTTTTCTTTTCTCCTAAAAGAAGTGGAAATTTAGGTTTGAATTTGGTCACCCAAAATTAATGCTGCTTTGAAAGGACTGTGTTAGGTGTCAGCAAAAACCAGTATTATAAAATCAGTTAAAACACTACTGAATAGTTTGCGTGGAGCTGAAAAACTACTCAGCAATGACGATTTTAGTGTATAGCCTGCTGCCGATTCGATACAAATCATTTAAGCCATATATGAATACATGCATGAACACATGAACGTCTCTTTGCTTTTGAACATCACTCGGTTATTTGTCGCCACTTTTTATGCATTTTTGCTGTGCAGCGCTACAGCAAGCAAAAACACATATTGTCGAGAGGCTGTCTGTGTGTATGTGTTCGGAAGCGAGTGCATTTTGTCACCCACTTTCATCTCAGCAACCAGG